AGTGTGGGGGAATTTGATGACTCGATATATACACATGTTTTTGTCCACCATTCTTATATTATTTCAGTCTCATTTCTGGTGTTTTAAACCGATTTCACACTAGGTTGTTCTTGTTTGTGATATTTCTTATCCTAGTACGTGAATGAAGGTTTGAGCACGAGTTCGGGTCGATTGGACGAAGTTGGACGTTTGGCGAAAAGCTGAAGAAACCACACGGCCGTGTGACATGGCCGCGTGGCACTCCTTTGCGCGGGAAAGGGCACACTGGTCTTGTAAGGACCAATTTTGGTCGTGTGGGATTTCCAGACTTCACACGGGCAAACTGAAATTCCACACGGCCGTGCCGTTCTGGCCGTGTAGCGTACCTTGAGTCACTAATTCGAACATTGCGTTTTGGGACGTTACACGAGCAAGCTGGGGATTTCACACGGCCGTGTAACCTGGCCGCGTGGTCGTGGAATTTTGGGTTTTAACCCAATTTCGGGTCTTTGAAGAGGGATACGAACTTTCAGAGCAAAAATAGTCTTGGAGAGAGAAAGTGCGAATAACAAACCCTAGGAGTGATTTTGGAGGTGGGTTTCATCAATCAAGCTTGGATTTCGTCCTTGGGGTGAAGATTATCATCCCATAGCAGATTCTTCCCATCATTATGAGTATGGTTGCTTTGGATTCTGTTTTCCTCTCTCTCTCTCTCTCTATGGAGTAGAACTTTCTCTCACTTGGGTATGAAGAACCCTAGTTCCATGTGTTAGAGATCTTGATTGTAATGACGTTTGGATTGATATACTGCCTGATTATAATCGATTGAAGTGTGTTTATTGAGTCAATTGAAGTCTGATAAACTTTTCTTGATTTCTGTTGCAACCTGAGATAGATAGAATCTGATTAGGTTGTTAGAGCTTCTTCAATCGGTAGTAGTGAATTGATTATACGAGAGCTAGTCGATTCACTGCTTTGTACTGGAATCCAATTCCAGTAGTGGATTTCTATGTGAATTGCCTCAGTAGTCTATCCCGGTGAAGGGTAATCGCCTGCCGGTTAGTCTGTCTGAGAGGGCTTGGGCAGCTTAAGAGATTCCAAGCTACTGTCGGATCTTCCGCAGTTTAATCAACAGTAAATCAAGCAAAGGAAATTACAACTTGAACCTAACTAAGGAACTAGGGGACTCATTCCAAGTGACTCTTCCCTTGCTTTAGAAAACCGAACACTTTCCTGCTTTCTTACTGCTTTTGTTTACAATCACTCTCATTAAACTTAGTCCCGCTAGATAATAGATAGTCACGGAGTAGGCAGTAGATCTAGACCCGAGTTGATAAAGTAAACTTACCACTATTCTGCATTTGCATTCTGCGATTACACTTGGTCGCAGTTTGGTGTTGGGTCATAGCGTGTCATTTCAACAAAGCCTTACTGGGAAGGTAGGTGTGGGATCTGTTACATAATCCAAACTCATTAATTGCTCGAGTCCTAAAAGCTAATACTACCCTTATACTAATGTGTTGGAAGCTGAAATGGGAAGCAACCCGAGTTATATACAAAGAAGCATAATGCGGCCCAGATTTTGGTAAAGGAAGGGACGAGATGGAGAGTGGGGGATGAAAAGAGCATACGCATCTGGTGGGATCGATGGATACCAGAAGTAGAGGACTACAAGATTCAGACCACAATTACAGGGTTAGGGCTGGATGCAAGGGTGGCGGATTTTATTGATCACTCTAATCGATCTTGGCGAAGTAATCTACTACAACAACACTTCCAGCCTATCGATAGAGAGAGGATCAAATCAATTCCGATACCAGTAAGACCTAAACCTGACAGATGGTGTTGGGGCAAAGAAAAAACAGGGCTTTACACTGTAAAGATGTAATATCAAGCTTGGCAACTGAAACGAATGAATGGCGTGCCAAAACATTATGAGACAATTGACTGGCACAGACTTTGGCATTTGCAGCTACCACCGAAAGTGAGAATTTTTGTTTGGAGATGGGGAACAAATTTACTACCTACTGGTGGAAATCTAGCAAAGCGGATACCAAAAGCCAACGAGGATTGCCCATTCCGTGGATTGGTGGAAATGCAAGAACACATAACAAGAGATTGCGACTAGGCACGACAAATCTGGAGACCTAGCTTCCTATGTAAATTATTTTGAGATGGGAGAAAATCGAAAGTGTGTAGAATGGGTTTGTGAATTGTTAGAGAAGGCGAAAGATGAGGAAATATGCGAGTTCTTCATAACGATCTGGTTTCTATGGAAAGAGAGGAATAACCACAAATTTAACAATTAGAAGTTGGAGAAATGGGAAGTAGTGGAAAGAGCTCAGTGTTACCTGGATGAGTATCGGAGCGCTTAGGAATCAGCTCCGCCATCGAAGTCGAATGGTCGAAGGTACAAGTGGGAGAAACCTCTGGTGGTTTTTAAGGCGAATGTTGATGCAAGCGTTTTGATGGATGGGGAAAGGGTGTCGGGATGGTGGCCCACGACGCAGAGGGAAAATTTGTGATGGCGGCGGTCCGGCGAACGAGGGTAAACTGGCAACCCGAAATGACGGAAGTAGCGTCTTTTCTATGGGGTATGAAGCTTATGAAGCAGCACCAGTTTCAACCGGTGATGCTGGAAACAGATTGCCGAAGTATGGTTTGTTTTTAAATTGCAGGGGAAGGAGAGGACCAATTTGGAGATTGAAACCATTTGTGAAGAGATAGGAGAATTGGCAGAAGGAATGGAGGTGGAGTGGAGATTTTGGGGTAGAGAAGGCAATGCTGCAACACACCTGGTGGCTAGGGTCCAATGCAGGTGGGAAGAAATCGAAGTCTAGTTTGACCAGCCACCCTATTTTATTGTAACCGAGCTCTTTTTGGACTGTAATGCTTCTACTCATAGCTAAATAATAAGCATATATGCAACTTTGTAAAAAAAAAGCAATAGAGGATTGGGAAAAGAATTTTTTTATGGGAAACCTGTAATTGGGAAAAGAAATCTAAAAAAATCAAATGAAGTCCAGATACGAGGAGGATTTCTTTTTTATAAAGACTAAAATTTCAGAATTTTTAATTGAGGTTGGCCCTCAGCGTTCAACCCAGTATTTACATTCTCTCCTGTTTCAGGCCGACAAAATGCATTTTTGGGACGATTTTAGGAGGGCCCAGACTCCGCTGAATTTAGATATGGTGTACCACTTGGCTTTTGGAGAACGGTTCTCCATCTTACATCCAATGGTCCATAAAAATGGGTCATTAAATTAAGGGTCAAGATTTGTTGGTAAAAAGTAGTAGTGGAGACTGAGGTCAGCAACTGAAAAGGTGCTGACAAAAAGCTTTTTTTTTTGGGCCCACGGACTGAAAAGGAGCTGACACAAGAGAGAGAGTAGAGAATGCAAGTTCTTGAAAATGCTGAATATGATTTCTGTTTTGCACAAATATGTTTTGTGATCAGTAGCACTTTGGTTTATATTTAGTAATGATATGGTTTTTAATGCGTGGTATATTATTTTGAATAAGAGCTGTGAAAATTACGAATATAGAAATCACATATATGGAATATGTTTTCTATTCAATGCAAATATCATATTTTGTTTAATACGAATATGATATTCTAATTTGTATATTTGTTCAATGCAAATATAACTTTTGCTCAGTGCAAATATGTATTTTGTTCGATACAAATATGATTTTAGTTAAAAATAAATAGTATGTAAATAGTATGTATAAGTTTTAGGACTTTGCTACGGTGACATGCATGTCACGGTGACATGCACTTTTCGGTCGACCTCATATAGGATCAGGTCAACCTAATCAGTTGTTTCCGTGTAAAAACAGTTTCATGGTGCCTACTTTGGAGATTCATATCTTACAATTGGCTAGATGGAAATTGGAAATTAAAGGCTTGTTTTGAAGCTGAAGTGTCCCTCTACACATTGAAGTACTTGGGAGCTCAATAGAAAGTCAAGAAGACCATTTTTAAACCTGGCCAAAAGGCTATGCCAAAACTGGGAAACTGCCTGAAAATGGCTAAGTCTGGCAACGTGTTTGTCAAGGTTACTTTGGAGCTCAATTTGAGAAGCATGGATGCGAGTCAAGTCCAGGGGCCTCTACCACGTTAAATTACGTATTTTTTTATACAAAGGCAAGGCATTGAATGAAAGATTGAATATCTTTAAGGCTTCAAACAAAAGGCTCGAAGTTGCTACAAAGGCTGTTTTTCTGGCAGCTTGCTTGTGCTCGAAGTCTTCCAGAAAAACAGCCTTCGTAGCAACTTTGACCTTTTTGTTTGAAGCCTTAAAGATATCCAATCTTTCATCCAATTCCTTGAATTTGTATAAAAACATACCTAATTTAACGTGGTAGAGGCTCCTGGACTCGACTCGCATTCATGCTTCTCGAATTGAGCTAAAAAATAGGCTTCACAAACACGTTTCCAGACTTAGCCATTTCTAGACAGTTTCCCAGTTTTGGCATAGCCTTTTGATGAGGTTCAAAAATGGTCTTCTGGACTTCCTATCGAGCTCTCAATCACTTCAATATGTAGAGGGACACTCCAGCTTCAAAACAAGTCATTAGTCTTCAATTTCCATCCAGCCAATTGTATGATATGACTATCCAAAGTAGACACCATGAACTGTTTTTACACTGAAACAACATATTAGGTCGACCGATCCTAAATGAGGTCGACCTAATCCTAACTGAGGTCGACCGGAAAGTGCATGTCACCGTAGGCATGTTAAAAATAAATGACCCACATATCAACTACTTTTTCAGGTCATGGGCCCCATAATACACTATCTATTGCTCTAATAGATCTGAGTCTTTAATTTAAAAGAACACTTTTATGGACCGTTGGATACTTGGATGGAGAATGGAGAACCGTTCTCCAATATTCAAGTGGTGCACCAATCTTGGTTGGACTCCGCTAATTATCAATGGGGACAAATTTAGCATGAGCTTAACATGGTATTTTCTGTGACAAATAAAATGGGTTGTCCCTTATACTCGGCCCACCTTACTCGGCCCACCCAACTAGGCCCAACTACGCTATCTTCCTCTCAAGTCCCAACTTACTGCGCATAACAGACCCTAGGCGTCACCCAACGGCGCCGACCGACTCTCCCCTGCTTCCCTCTCGGTCGCGCGCAACTCGCCAGGATCTCCCTCTCGTTCGCGACCAGCCAGCATCTCCGCCAGCGGCCAGTCACAGCAGAGCAAAATATTGTTGTGCTTGATCAGAATTCCCCCATCTTCGAGTTTCCAGGAAGTGTGAACCATCTTGGTTCGTTTCCTTCCTACCTCGCCTCAAAATTTTCTCTTCGTCGATCCGCTCGATTCTTTCGACGGACTCTCGATCCAGGTAATCCTTTAGTTATCTCTCGTTCTGTGTTTCGTTCGACTTTCTCGACGATCCAGATTCTTGATTTTGAATTCCTAATTTGAAGATTCGAAACCCTACTTTGCTCTTGTCAATTTCAGTCGAATGAAGCGATCGATTATTACTTGATTTCGATTTTCGAAAATCGATTGAAACCCTAAGTTTCGATATTCGTTTTTTATTGCATAATTCCCGTCGACGTCTTCACCGGACGAGCGATTCAGTTCTTTTTTCCACTTATGAGTTTTTGGTTGCACCCTACTCTCTACTCTTCGTGGACTTCCCCCTTACGCATATTCTATTAGTCAAAGTTTGGGTTGAATTTATATATGTTATGGAGTACCAGGAAATATAATGAATGCATAGAACATTCTTCTCTCGTTTATGCTTTTGTGCTGTCACTTGCATTCTACTGATGCCTTGTGTGTTACTTGGAATCCCAGAACAAGGCAATTTGAATTTGCTTTGATGTGTCGATGACCTGGGTTGTTATCATGAATGTTGCAATCCGCTTGCTTTGGCTTGTGGTATTTATGATTCAAAATTCAGAAACTTTCCTGTTATCTAAGTCCTAATTTTTCTTTTTTGATTCAACAGTATCTCTATGAATTCACCATTTTCTGTGTTTCCTTCCGCAATTCGATCACTGTTGTCGACGAAACTGTACTTCCTTGTTCGTTTGTTTACTTTATCAATCGTTTTAGCTGCTCCATCAAGATTTGGATCCGTTTTTTTTATTGAGTTTCCAAGAAGTGTGAATCGCCTTGATTCGTTTCCTTCTTGCCTCGTTTTGAATGTTGGTTTTCTTCCATCCCATCGAGTTTCCAAGAAGTGTGAATCATTTTGATTTGTTTCCTTCTTCCCTCGTTCTTTGGATGTTGGTTTTCTTCCATACCATCGAGTTTCCAAGAAGTGTGAATCACTTTGATTTGTTTCCTTCTTGCCTCGTCTTTGGATGTCGATTTTCTTCCTTCACATCCGAGTTTTCAAGAAGTGTGAATCAATCTTGATTCGTTTCCTTCTTGCCTCGTTTATGTATTTTCTCTTTTTCTGATCTGGCCGAACTTTCGCTGATCGTGTAAATTTTCCCGTCGATTGATTCAAATTAGATATAGGGCTCGTTTGCTTGTTGGATTTGAAAATGAAGGTTTTGAGTTTTTAAAACCTTTGGATTTATGATGGATTTATTGCATTTTGTATTTGAAAGATAACATTGTTTGCTTAGGTGAATTTTTATCAAGGATTTAGTTCATTTGGTATTTGGGTCTCAAAAATTTGCCTTCCATAGTGTGGTATTTGCAAATACCAAATGAAATGTGGTATTTGCAAATACGTGGGCCCCACGGATTTGTATACCTCAACAAACAATGTTTTTACATCAAATACATAATGCTTGGTATTTGGGTGCCAAATACAACACCCAAATCCCACAAGCAAACGACCCCATAATTTTAGGCCCAGCTTCGTGGAATTATAGGTTTGCTTAGGGTTTCTGAATCGTTTTTGTTGTTTATTATACGATTTGTCCACTTGTGTTCATTGTGGTTGTGTGTTTCACCTAGAACAATTATGAGTCTTCTGTTTTTGCAGGAGAAAAGATGAAGTTTGATCTACCATCTTTCGATGGGCCTGGATGGGTCAGGGACAGAGAGGCCACAGCGGATAGGGCCGCTCTGCCGAACCAAATTCCACCACCTGCTCCTCGTATTGTGCTCAATCGGCCGACGTTTGCCGAAACTGTTGCGAGGGCCATGAGATTGACCGGAGCATTGTTACTCCTCCTCAGGTCATGGCCAGAAATCTGGAAGGTGGTCGTCCCAATGTGGCTGGAGGAGGAGACCGTTCATCATTTACATTCTATGTGTTTGTAGTTATCCTCGGCCTTATGGTAATCGCCGCAGGCCTTGGAAAAAGGCAGTCCGCCTCGACTTCGACTTCCGTGGCTCTGCCTCCCGAAGAAAGTACTACTGCATTTGAGGTTTTTGTGGTGACTTGCCCATCGGGCTTTTGTTCTATGCACGGGGTAACCTGCACAGGAGATTTAATTAATAATAAATGGGTTGCACACGGTATATGGGGCGTGAGGGCGGATGGAACTGTTAAGAAGCATTGCCCTATACCGGCTGTGTCAACCTACGCCACTGATGTAAGTTGCCTTGAGTTGGCTGCTGCAGTAATTGCGTACTTATTATACTATGCGTCTGATTTGTTGTAACTGCCATGATTCTGATATTTTCTAACTGCCATGGTGCTGATTAGTTCTAACTGCATGCTGCCATGGTTCTGATTTGTATCAACAGCTCAAGAACGTACCACATCGTCTGAAGCCGATGTTGGCTCCTTGGTACAGGAAATGGGTGGGGCTCAAATCTGCTAGTGACCTTTATTCCCAGAACGGGTTTTGGTGGCATGAGTTCTCCAAGCATGCTGGCTGTCTCAAGAAGTTACTGACCAAACCGGAGCTAGGTCAGAAAATTGTCCGCTTGTACATCAGATACCGGATGGAAATTATCTTGCGTGGAGGCAATGTTGTTCTTGGTAATGACGTCACTTACCCTCTAGAAGTCATTTACAATGCGGTGAGGTCGTATGAGCAGAATATGGAGAATAGCGATCTTCCTTGCATCCCTAGGTGTACCTATAGGGCCCATGTGCAAGTGCTCACAGAAGTGTGGCTATGCATCGCCGAGGTAGAGGAATTTACAAAGATGGTGGGCTGCGAAGCACAAATGAGGAAGCATGTTAGTTGCAAGGCGACAAGTGAGATCACTGTTCTGGATGCCATCGTTCCATAGCATAGGTTGCTGATTTTGGTTATGACTTTTTTCCAAAGGCGGTTTGAGGCCTACTTTTTTCGTTCTTGGATGTTTAGAAATTAGTATTCAAACCGCCTTTGGAAAAAAGTCATAACCAAAATCAGCAACCTATGCTATGGAAAGATGGCATCCAGAACAGTAATCTCACTTGTCGCCTTGCAACTAACATGCTTCCTCATTTGTGCTTCGCAGCCCACCATCTTTGTAAATTCCTCTACCTCGGCGATGCATAGCCACACTTCTGTGAGCACTTGCACATGGGCCCTATAGGTACACCTAGGGATGCAAGGAAGATCGCTATTCTCCATATCCTGCTCATACGACCTCACCGCATTGTAAATGACTTCTAGAGGGTAAGTGACGCCATTACCAGGAACAACATTGCCTCCACGCAAGATAATTTCCATCTGATATTTGATGTACAAGCGGACAATTCTCTGACCTAGCTCCTGTTTGGTCAGTAACTTCTTGAGACAGCCAGCATGCTTGGAGAACTCATGCCACCAAAACCCGTTCTGGGAATAAAGGTCACTAGCAGATTTGAACCCCACCCATTTCCCGTACCAAGGAGCCAACATCGGCTTCAGACGATGTTGGCTCGTTCTTGAGCTGTTGATACAAATCAGAACCATGGCAGCATGCAATTAGAACTAATCAGCACAATGGCAGTTAGAAAATATCAGAATCATGGCAGTTACAACAAATCAGACGCATAGTATAACAAGTACGCAAACTCTAAGCATATCAATAGCCACATCTAAAAACATCGACCAAACCAAGAAGCATAAAATTTCGAGACCATCAATCAAACCCACACGCAATGTTTCCAAACCACAGATCTGTAAATAATAGTCAGTTTATTTAGTCTAAATTTCCCTAATTACACCAAAACCTAACGATAATACCATCTTTTAATTAATTCAGCCTATTAATTTATGCTAAATAAATTGGGTTTAGGAAGACTCACCCAGATCTGGTTTCTCATCAAAACCTACAAGGAACAAGAATAAGGTTTCGAATTAGATTAAGTAGATTTTTATAAAAAAATAAAATAAAAATAACAGATTAACATGAATTTTAATCGAAATCCTACATCTCCTTTTTTTTTTTTTTTTGAGACGAAGGTCGTCTCCGGCAGGGTCTCGCCGCCGACCAAATCCAAACCAAAAACACATAAACAAACATACATCAGAACTCGAAATCAACGAATGAAACCCAAATTAAAACATGCAAACTCTCAATCGTCACTTACCACAGTCACAAGGTTGTCGTCGCCGCCGTTCTAACGAGAAAGAGCAGATTGAGAACTCCTCTCGACTCCAGGTCGGTTTTCCGAAAATCAAACAAGAAAATGGGAATAAGAACTCAAAAATCCTAAAATCGGATCTGAAAATAGTAGAAACTTGCACATGCAAAAACAAAAAGTAAAAAAACGAACCTTTAACTTAGCCGCCTACGACGCTCTTCCTCATGTCTTCGACGTTTCCAGAAACAAGAAGAAGAGAATCGGGTTAGGGGTTTTGCATCTTCGTTTTGTTTTGTCGTGGAGACGGCGGGGGGAAAAATAACGAGAGAGGAGATAGCGGTGTTTGATTGGCGAGAGGTGGCTAGGGTTCGATTTTGTTTTTCTTGGTAAGAAGAGGAGGAGAGTCGAGCAGGAAAAACGAGAGAGAGGAGCTCGTCGTTTTTTGGTTCTCTGGAGAAGAAGGGAGTCGAGTGAGAGAGAGAGACGAGAGAGAGGGGTGAGAGGCGGCTGCACTTGTGGACTGTGGTTAGGTTTAGGATTTGGGTTTCCAAAAGAGGTTTATATACCTCAACATTGTAATTGACTGTTTTACCCTTGGGGTTTCCGAAAATTAACGGGCCCTGCCACCGTGTTTTGGTGAAAGTTCGAAACTACCCTTCCCCTTTTCTCTGAAATAAAACGAGAAACAAAAAATATGATGGCAGCTGGGTTTCGAACCATATCCTCGTGATCGGGTGTGTTGTACGACTGGCATTTTAGCCAGTTGGGCTGCTGGCCCATCATTCATAAATTTAATCATCCCATTTAAGTTTATTTGTTTTTAAAATCCCTCATACGAAATGTTGAATGCAGATTAAGTTTATCTTGTTTCTTTTCTAATACCTCAAAATACTTCCTAATAACTAAAATCCTTGCATTTATTTTCGTAACATCATAATAATCAAATTAAATTTATTAACAAAAATTATAATACGAAAATTACGTTTAGTGGAACGTAGTAAAAGTCATACAATTAAACTATCAAAGTCCGAACGAACTACGTGGACTTTGATCCCGTCTAACGGGTACGTAGGCAACCGATAAGGTTCGAGTCCAACTAACCAATTAACTTTATCTTTAAACTGTACGTCAGTGGACGTATAATTAAATTATAACTTATACGATAAAATCATTTAATGGTCCAGTGGGATCCCAAAAATACATATTTTCTAAAATACACCCAACTCATTTAAACTTATCAACTTAAGTAGTACCGATTTAGGGCGTTGTGGGGTGTTGCTTGACTTCCCCACACGTAACCGTACTCCCGAACCCAGAACTTTATGTTCGCAGACCATGTCTCGGTTCTGACCCTAATGTTAGAGCCGACAAAAAAGTGTTCGATCCACTCCAAGTAAGATCGATGGTGACTCCCAAAAAATGCCGACGCGACGACATCGGACCCCCTGGAGGGACGGTTGCGACAGTTGGCGACTCCGCTGGGGACTTCGAGAGTCGAGCTACATAATTAAGTTCGATAAGTTTTCTAATTTTCTATTACGTGTTGGGTGTTTACTTTACTATTTGCGCAATTATATTTTCGCAATTAAATTCTGCATCCATGCATGAAAGCTCTATACCCGAGCTATCCTATTAGAAACGGAAAAGGAGTACCGTGACTTTCACAGTAGTGGAAACCACGCAAAACTTTCCAACCAAGTTGAACTCAGATCCGAGGTTGATCTCGAGGTATCCAGCCAGTTCGTAAGGGCTATGGCAGGATACAACTTGGGAGCCAAATCCCTAGGAATTCCTCTGTCAACATATAGTAAGCATAGAGGCCTCCCTAAACCGTCAAAAATTATCCCGAAACCACCCTAAAATCATGCTGTTACGCCGTCCAAATACCCTAGGCATACCTAAATAAGGTAATATTCTTTCTATCGTATAAATGTATGGTTGTTGTTGATGTGATAAGTTGTATTATGTGCATTGCTCTTAATTGGCGTGATTGTTTGGATAAAAGTTGTTTTCAAATTCCACAATCCTTATATTTTCTTTAAAACTTTCATTTATTAATTCAGAATTGATCATACAAATGTTTTGCAAAGCATATGCATCACAAGAAACCATTTTCGCATTCATACATCATTGAAATTTCGCATAAGCATCATGCATACATACAAAAAAATAAAAACAATTTAACAATGCTAAGACGTAATTAGGTTTCATAAAATTGCTCTTCCACGAGGAAAAAAGTCTAATCCTTGAGTATTCGACAAGATCGAAGGTTAAGCTCGTCATGGAGGCATTTCAGAAAGATTTAGATGATATCAAGAGAAGAGTGATTGGGCTTGAAGAAATGAAAGAGGATGTTAGCATGATTCTGAGAATTTTGTCAAAAATCAAGAAGACAATGGAAGTGAAAAGTGGAGATACGTCATTCGACGAAGAAATTTCATACCAACCGCACGACAAAGTAACATCGAACGATAAACCTGACGTCGTGGCCTCAAAGAACATGCATGATCATAAAAATACAGGATCAAAGCATGATAATCTGCCAGAGCAAGTGATCAAAATAATTCAAGGACAAGCAAAAGAAAGTACCTGGCAGTGCCGATTTCAAAAGGATCGAGCTCATCACTATGTTGCTGATGCTGCACCAATTGCTCAACGTTCGAGATCTCATACTCAACCAGCAGTGCAGATGCCGACACAAGTCACACGACTACCAAATAACCACTACCAACACAGTTCGGGGAGATACGAGAAGCCCATCCAAATTGACCCTATTCCCATTACATACACCGAACTTCTCCCTCGGCTAATCCAAAGTCACCTCATTGCCGTAGTACCATGTGAGCCTATGAAACCTCCTTATCCAAATTGGTACAAGTCAGAGCAACACTGTGCTTACCACTCAGGCGTCGCGGGACACTCAACGGATAATTGTAGATCGCTCAAGAGCAAGGTCCAACAAATAGTGAACGCCGATTGGTTGAAGTTCGAAGAAAATCCAAAAATTCCAGATGTCAACAAGAATCCACTGCCAATTCACGGGAATTAGTTGGACGAACTACAAGGCAAAACTTGATTCAAGGATGATGTTGATCCTATCCAATAAATGAAATATCGAGATAATTTGCCATGACAAAATATGTACCACTTATACTTTCATCGTCATG